AGCAGGGAGGCGGTCTTCCTGGCAGGTCGGGGACACGAGTTCGGGGTTTAGGGTTTAGGGTTTAGGGTTTAGGGTTTAGGGTTTAGGGTTTCGGGTTTAGGGTTTAGGGTTTAGGGTTTGTTTGGGGGTTTGGGTTTAGGGCTTGGGGTTTGGGGTTTGGGATTCGGGTTCAGGGTTCCGGGTTGCCGGTTTAGAGTTGTGATTTGGGATTGAGGTTTTAGGTGTCGGGTTCAGAGTTTAGTTTAGGGCTTAGTGTTTTGGGTTCAAGGTTTAAGGCTTTAAGATTTGGGGTTTAGGGTGACAGGTAGAATACGTCTTCGGGGTGAAATTTGTTTTGAGCCTGAACCCTAAACCCTAAGCCCTTGTTGCCTAATAGTCGCAGTATCATTTGAGCAAGACTGCTACTGAGTCTTCAGGCCACTATACCCTGAAACTCTAAACTTTCACAACAACCCTAAACCCTAAAGCCCCAAAGCCCTGAAGCCCTAAACCCTAAAGCCCCACAGCCCTGAAGCCCTAAACCCTAACCCCTAAATGCCTGCCCCCTATAAGCCCCTAAACCCCAAACCCTAACGCCATAAAATATGATTCACCTGATGGGACTAACCTGGCCCGGGGTATGGTTCAGGCTTTATGGGGCTTGTACTTACCTATACTATTTCGGAGGTTCCTTATTATAATTATAGTAAAATGGGCCCCCAAACCCTGTTCTAATTATAAAGGCCCCTACATTAGGTTAGGCTCTGTCGGGTTTATCGGAGTATCGTGTTCCAGTGTTTAGCGGGAGTATCGGATTTGCAGGCCTTAGGGGTTTGAGTGTGCTCCGCCCTCCCGGAAAAAAGCAGCCCTACATCCTCAACCCCTTTCCTAAGACCACAAAAGTACCTTCAACAAAAGAACACTAAACCCTAAGACACGGTACGGGCACTGTTAGCCCGGAGTTCCGTATCCAGCAATCCGAAACCCCAATCCTTAAGGGTCCATCTACCCAGATAGTATCTACTTTGGCCTTGAAGTAGCCCCTATCTATATCTGTATATATTATATAATACATTATATGAGTACAAAGACCCTGAGGGACTTCTACCGGGTTTAGGGCGTCAAAACCTATTGGCTTTTGGAGGTCATGCAAACTAGCGACCAGCGACCAAGGCTCATCCATGCGAACGATCCCGGCACTGTTAGGAGGTCGGAGGTGCGGCGGGGAGGAAATGGTGTTAGGGCTTTGAAGGTTGAGAGGGTTTGGGGTTTTGTTTTTTTTGTTTATGGTTGGGAGCTGTGCAGCGGACTCAGTAGGCTCTTGTGGCTTGGTGGCTTATGTGAGCCTGTTCTGGCGTTGAAGTCTCAGACTATAGTCGAAGTTATATGGGAACTTGTCGCTTAATGCCACCTCTAGATCAGTTGTACCGATACGGTATTTGTTTGAGAACCTATTTTTGCTGAAACCCTGCGTTTGAACATGTCGTAGCTTGTTCAAACATGGATCAGCAACAAGAGTACCGTTTGTATATCGTTGTATCATTAAGGAACATATCTTAACATAATGGTTTAAGTTCCATATGGCACCAACCCAAAAACCCAATGGTATATTCTTTCATCAAGAAGCATTCGGCTCTCTAGTAGCACCTGTGTTAAACCTTTTCATCCAGAAGCCCTAAACCCTAAACCCCAAACCCTACCCATAGGCCCCATAGTGGTTCCTTTTTGGGGCTCATCACTAGAATCCTAAAAGGTAATCCCAAAAAGGTGCCTCGGGTAAACCCCAAACCCTAAACTCCAAACCCTAAACCCTATACCCTATAGGGTTTTCAAACCCTAGAGGCTCAATACTTGTAAACGCTAGGGTTTAGCTGAGGGTGTAGACCGGGTTTCCTAAGGTTTAGTTCAGGGTTTA